AGAAGTGATGAGCATGAAATAAGGAAAATATATCAGTCTAATTATAATGAAAAAATCTTAATATATAAGCAACGTTTAAAAGTAGAATAATTTCTGGGCTGAAATTATTCCTAATAATCACTGGATACTGGATCATTGCTGGACTCATCCACATATAGAATCATAGACTCATACAATGGCTTTGGTTGGAAGGCAGCTTAAAGACAATCTGTGTTTAACTCCTCCACAATGGACAGGGACACCTGGGTGCTCAGAGCCCCATCCAACCTGGCCTTGAACACTTCCAGGTATGGGACATCCAAAGCTTTTCTGGGCAACCTGGTCCAGTGCCTTCTGATATCTAGTCTAAACTTACTAAATTGTCCTCCCTTATGATATCATTACCTGCCTATGTAAAAAGTTGTTCTCCATCTTTTTTATAAGTCCTTCCTATGTACTGGAAGGCTGCAATGAGGTCTCTCTGGAGCCTTCTCTTTTCCAGGCCGACAATCTGAGCTCTTTCAGATTGTCTTCACCAGTGAGGTGTTCCAGACCTCTCTTCACCTTCATGGCCCTCCTCTGGACCCATTCTAGCAGGTCCACATCCTTATTGTACTGAGGATTCCAGATCTGGACACAGCACTTCGAGTGGGGCTTCACAAGGGCAGAGTGGAGGGGGACAATCGCCTCCCTTGATCTGCTGGGTGCAAGTCTTTTGATGTAGCCCAGGATGCAGCTGGCTTTCTGGGCTGCAAGTGCACATTGACTGTTCATGCCCAACTTTTCACCCACCAGAATCTCCAAGTTCTTCCCCTCAGAAGTGCTCTCACTGAGCTCTTCTACTCTGTTTTCATGCCTGGGATCGCCCTGACCCAGGTGCAGACCTTGTACTTGGACTTCTTGAGCTGCATTAGGTTCATATGTTGCCACTTCTCAAGCCCATAAATGGAACAATGAACAGGATCTAGATTATACTGGATATGCAAAAAATATTTAAAAATAATTTAAAATAATTTAAAAATAATTTAAAATAATTAAAAATAATTTAAAAAGGTACAGTTGATCAGATGTCAACCATCTTACGAGAAACCAGTTATCGTGTCCTTATTTTATTTAATATCTGAGTTCCTGGGGAAACAAAACTTTTGCAATCCTTTTAACTCAATACTCTTCAGTAATTTTTAACCCTTGTCCAATATCAGGCAAATCTAGTAGGACAGAGACCTAAAACTCATTTTGATTCTAAAAGCCTCTTAGCAGCTACTGGCTGAAAAAAGGAGAAAGACCTGCTAAAAATAATCAGAGAAAATTTTTCTTTCCTCAGTACATTGGGCAGGAGCCAAGCTGTAAAAGAGAAGGCAGATAGCCATGGACTCGTCACCAGGTAGGACAGGACAGGCTGCAGCACATGGCAGTGAAGAGTGAGAGGATGCTGACTTTTCATGACAGGAAATCATGACAGTTGTCATGACAGGAAATAATGAGGACTAGATGTATTACATGGAACTGGACACACAGAAGGGACCACACTGGAGTATGACTTTCAAAAGAAAATGATTAGCAGATACTTTTACACTAAGTTAACTAATGAGTTATATTAACAAGGCCAGATAGTGGATACCTCAATAGCACTGAACAGAGTTGATGTCTCCTTCTAGGATGTGAGTTTACTTTTTCAGAACTAACAGGAGGTCTTCATATCACATTCCTACTTAAACATGGCTGTGCCCTTTTCATACAATGATATTGTAAAAAGAGAGGCCAAACTAATTATGCATATACATAATTTCACATTATGTTTACTATTGCCATGAAACTATCAAGCTTCAAAAATCAAGCTTTGTAAAAATTGTTTTAAGTCATGAATTGCATTTAAATTCTGCTTTATCCTAAGGAACTGAGCTATTTGTATCAAAAACCGAAACCTACAAATTAGAGTGTAGACACAGCAACTCTAGATCTTCTACACACTGGCCAGAATGTAATCATTAGCCCTTGATGTACAAAGCATGTCAATAGAAGCCTTTGCTTAGTGTGATGGTCTTGATGCTATCACAATCAATTCATATTAAACAAAACACCGATAATTTATTCATCTTAAGCAACACCAGAGAGAATTTATGAAAGAAAATATACAGAATATTCTGATGTAGCTCAAGGCTGATAACAGTGCCATTAGAAGATGGAATATCCTCTACCAAATTAGGAAATAAATTTATGACTATGAAATTAGGGCCCTCAGTAATCAACCACACGGATCCATCAGTGATGAAACTAACAAGAACTGAGAGATGCAAAAATCTTCCTATGCAGAGCACTGTCTGTCAGCTTACATTGAATAGATAGTTCATTTATTACTTGTCTCTCAAAAGAAAGGAAATTTATGATGATGTAGGAAAAACAAATCAGTATTATACAAGAGGCACAGGAAGTAATTGATAAACAAAAAATATGTGAGGTTTCAGCCTACTCTTCTGCTGAATTCACAACCCCCTTCCTATTTTGGAGACATAGTACTGTTTTGCAATCAGAATTTTTCAGCTGTGTTTCCTATACCAGAAATCAGACTGATAAAATTATCCAGTCCTGTTTCATATTATTCCTGCAAGATTTTTTTCATAAATTGGAAAACTGTTGCTCTTCTCTTAGGAATTTCTTTGAAAGAAAGTCAAAGAAAGGATGTTTCTTTGAAAGAAACATCCTTTTAAAATGAATGCAGAGAAAACCACAACAAACCCTTTCAAGCAGATATATTTATAACCTTTATTTCTAAGTTTTAAGTAGGGATTTAAAGTGTTTCTTTAGGGGACAATTCCTGTATATCTTACTGCATGTTGTATGTCTAATGAACCCTGATCTACCAAAGTCAGAAAGGTATATCTTTTAAATATATACAACAAAATATATTTATAAATAAAACAAATAATAACAGCATCAATCAGATTTACTTCCCAGCACGTTCTCAAGTAAGGTACTCATACAGTTAGAATCAGATTCAAAACTCACAAGTATGGTAACGGAGAAAAGGAAACTAACCAAAAGAAAGTCTGTGGTTTAGCTGAGGCTCAGCCTGTCCCAAGGGTTATACACTCGATATAGGCAGTTTTGGTTAGCACTTCCCTTGAATTCAATTCTGAATGTGACAAGCCTCAGTAAGTCTCATTTAGCATTCCGTCTAATAAGGAAATTGAAGAGAAATTTAACTGAAAATCATGGCACACAAAGGAAACAGAGGAAAAATAAACAAAGAAGTTATTCCTTTTAGGGTAAGACTCGTATATAGTTCACAATGGTAAAACGGCCTTTTTAAGATCAACTGCATTTTAATTCTTTATTTGTTAACATATAGCTACTGCTCATTGCAAGGGGTGTTCTTGAAAAGAGGTAAAGAAATAATGTCACTCATAACTGTGTATAGGAATCTTCTTTAAGAAAAGAAAGCAATGTATGTATTCTACAAGTCTTGTTTTAGAAATAATATTTTATGTTAAAAAGAATAAATATTAAAATGCAATTTTATTCTGTCTTAATAAATTTTCTTTAAATCTGAAATTTTTTGTCATTTTCAATGATATTAGAATCCTTTAGAATGTATAAATTGTAACATGAACATTTTGTATTTCTTTGATTTCTGAAAAAATAATAATACAGATTAATAGATATGGCAATGTACATTTCTGCCTGCCAATCAATTTGCCATCTAAGTCCTTCCATTCAAAATAAAAGAGGCCAGTTCTTGAAACCTAATAGATAGGGATCCATTCCTGCATCCATTGAGTTTGCAGAAAACTTAGGACATTCTTTCTTTTTAATTTAGCTCTTGTTCAAAGATAAGCTTTTCCTTTTGCCTTTCCAATAGTTAGGAAGTATTAAATATAATGATGGATGCAATGAAGAATTTGTGGAACATATATCAAAAATATTTTACTTAAGGGTATATTTCAAAAGCTTTATGTTTTCAAGTCTTTGTGAGGCACAGAGAAGATACTCATTTCTGCAACACTCCTAATAATCCTGCTTGCTGTTTGGCCAGATTTTACCCAATGTGTATTGCCAGGGAGCTTTGTTTTTCCTTGGAGCCTTGAGATCTCTACTATTGTTTATAAATCTTTCAATTCAAACAGCTTAAAGCACTTCCTTGTGGATATACCTTACCTACCAGCCCATTATGTTCTACAACAGCTCATGCAATGTCTGAGACCAGATTACAACATTCTTGTTGGCCTTGAGCCAATATGCAGAGAAAATGCATTTATGTTCAAGAAGATTTTTACATAAATTGTCGACTGAATTCAGAATTCCTACAAGATCCCCACTACTGTGCCAGATCAATGTGTATCCAATGAGCTGAATAGAAATTAACTTCCTATTAGTGGTCACATTAAGATATTCTATTCTGGTATTTACTCTTCATATATTCATGTGATAATATTTTTTGAAATCAGTATCAGCAATTCATTTAACTATGATAAAGTCAGGCTCCACCATTGCTCAACTATAGTGAGAAATATCTTAGATTTTGACCATCTGAAATGTAATAAATGACCTTAAAAGTTTAGTTTGGTATAGAGAAAGCAGAAGAAAAAATTTGATAGATGCATATGGAAGCAGCCAAAGGCATGTTGGGTTAAATATTTTAATGAATTGCCTTTTACTGCTATCTACCATAGGAACATCACAATTACCTCATGAGATCAAAATCACACAATTATCGAAATATGCATTTAAGAAGGGCTGGAGAATAACCCACATATGAGAACAGTATACCTTTGTAACCCATCTCAATATTATTCAGCGGTTAGACTGAAAGAAATCTTTACTAGTTTCAGTATTTTAGCTATGCCATCTCTGTGTTTTATCTGGAAATGCTGGAAAATTAAAAAATATTGGTGAATCCAAATGCTTTCCAAGGTGCCTTTTTGCCATGAATTTGACTACTAACTGGACTTCACTAATAGCTTCTTACTTCACTGAAAATCAACATGATTTTCAAATCAGTTATATGTTGAAATTGTACATACTCTGAGGAAACCTGGGTGGATTGTCGTTGACATCTGTGAGTGTGATATTTACAGTTGTTGACCCTGACAGCCCTCCGACCTGCCCAGCCATATCTTTGGCTTGAATGACAACGGAATAATGCTCTCTGGCTTCCCTGTCCATATTGTGCAAGGCAGTCCTGATGACTCCTGTGAGGGAAAGAAAACAAACAAACAAACAAAAGATCAGAATTAGCTTGTTCAAGCAAGAGCAAAGGCTGGGCATAACCTTTCTTTAAAGGAAAGGTGGAGCTAAGTGGTTAGTTGTTTGTGTCATATATATACATTTATAAAACACAACTCCAGATGCTTCTAGACAATAAACTTGCTGCATAATATGATAAAATTGAAACAGTATTTACTAAATCAATTATTATATTATTAAATAATTAATATAACTTATAACTTTCCTGATCCAAAGTTACATTAGCAAAATAAGAGTGTTTTCTCATATAACTCTTCAAATAGCTACTTAATAAAAAAACAAATGAATTGGAACTCTTACCCCAAGGAATAAGACACAAGGTGTTTTCTAACCAAAGGTAATTTCTTAATTAATATATCACGTATCTCTTAAACTATCCAAAAGCTATATTTTCCTATTTGACAAATTTCAAAAAGAAGTATTTTTTTGTTTTGGTACATGACAATCATGTAGATTTTTTTATGTTTGACTTAATTAATAATTGTAAAGTAAAAGATAAGATTTTTATTGTTATTACTATGTTAGAGAGAGAAAACCAAAATGGAATGATCCTAAAATTGTATTATTTTTTATCCATTATCATCAGAATTGCTTTTCACATTTAGTTTCCCATACATGTAGAAGCAAAGATTAAAATAAAAGTAGGGAGAGACAACTTGATGGGCACAGCTTCAATTAGGAGACATTTTCCACCTGTGATGATACCTGTAAATTAAACCCAGCTAATTTCTTTGATCACAGACTGACAGAAAAGTCATGGAATTCAGTAAAGAGAAATGTCAAGTGCAGTGGTAGGGAACTACTACACTCTGTGGACAGACCAGCTGGGAAGAAGCTTTTCATAAAAGAATCTGGTGTGGTCCTCAAGTTGAATGAGCCAGTGATGTGTCCTTGCAGCAAACAAGGCCAGCATCTTCCCAGGCTGCATCTTGAAATGCATTGTCAGCCAGTCAAAGGAGGGGATCCTTCCCCTCTGCTCATCAAATCTGGAGTGCTGGGTGCAGTTCTGAGCACACCAGTACATGAAAGATAGTAATAGACTGGAGTGAGTTTCATAGAAATAAATAAATAAATATGTAAAATGCCCAATTTATTACCATTACATTTTTAAAGAGCTAAAATTTTAGCATAACTTCTATTGAACTCTGAAAGTGAGGTCTTGCCACCAATGAGTACATAGCATAACACCATCAGATGTTGCTTCTGGGTAAATTTTGATCATATAATAATTACTAATGCAAAGAATCTTAAGTTGAGCCTTACTCTTCAGGACAACTTTATGTACAGCACAATTCTCAAGCTTTTTTGACTCCCAAAGTTTCAGATCATGTAAAAATGTATTTTCCAGAGCATTATCTTTCTTGTATTTTAAAATTACATTCTTTGCATTTCTTCAATAAAACCACTTAAACATTACTACATACAAAATGGAAAATTTCATGTAGTTTATACCATTGTTTCCATTCATTTCTGAAAGCAAATCATACAAAAACAAGGAGATCTGTGCACAAAGAATTTTTTTAAGCATCCACGAAGTTTTAGAATTATTTTAACACAGTTTTGCACTGTAAGTTTCTTTCCATCAGAAATATAGATTGGGACAAGCTGGCTAAAAATAGTAGACAAGCCTGGTTTAGTACATCAGTGTTTTTTTCCTCAAAATGATACTGTTTGAAACAGATATTTTTTTCAGAAATTGCAACATGATATATTGAAAATAACCACAACTTATACACATTATAAATTTAGAAAAGGAAATTTACAGAGTCATTTAGATAAAAGGAACTGCTATAATTTAAATATGCATTTTCATAAAAATAAATATGGTTTACAAAATCTGGTACTACTGTTCTGAAAATATATTTTGCTGATAAATAGGAATATGGGAATGTGTTAGAACTGAGAATGCCCTGCTTTGACTTTTCAAATGAATTGTTTTGGTTTTTTACATTGCAACCAAACGTATCATGCTTACGCATATGCATGTAAGAAATATGGGACTTTTTAAAAGAACCTTCCATTTCAACTTGTAACAGACCAAATGTAACATAGTAGAACATGCCTTCTACACTATCCTCCCTAGTACTAGCCACTTAATTTAAACAAACAAAAATTACCCTGATTTATGGCTACTTTTCGCTGTTTGCTTCAAGGGGTATGACACTTAATCAAGGCTTGGAGATGGCTAATTAGGATTTGTGGATGACTAATCATGACTAATCATTTCATCTCTGTCACTTGCAGAAGATTCCTCTTCTCTGAAAACTGAGAAAATTAAATTGGGCCGGCTTTTAGTTTCAAAACCTTGTATGCAAAGTTCAGAGTAAGAAAACTAGTTTTAAAGTTTTGATGGGCTGAAGGCAGGGGGTTAGAGAAGATTTAGTCTCCTCTTTTTCCTGGGTTTCACATCCATTTATACATCCTGAAATCATATCATCAGTATGAGGTATGTAACTAATGTGAGGACCCTAATGATCTGTCCTTGTCACTAGCAGCTCCAGCACTTCTGGCAGTGCAGCACTAAAATCATGCATAATCTCAAGTTTCACTATTGATCCAAAAATGTGTAAGGAGAACTTAGTTGCCTTTTCCACTAAGATAAAATTAAATGATCCAGCAGTTTCTTTAAAGCAGGAATTGCTCCTATCTTCTGTATGCTTGGCAGGGGTTGGTGTACATCCCACAAGACGACAGGAAGTTAATCTTAAGATATTTTCCTGACTAAAACATTTACCAAAGAAACTGAAAAAGAAAGCTGTCACAGGTTTTTTAAATTTAAACACAACCCTAATTTTGCCTCATATTTTTTAGGCAGCACTGTGACCCTGTTAAGTACTTCTCAGCTATGCCTTCAGTATTTATCCATCTTTGGTAGGAAAGGAAAAAAAAAAATTAAAAAAACCAAAATGTAGACGTCATTACAGGTACACTCCATACTATTTCTGGTATTAAGTAAAGAATTTCTACAAAAGTTTAACTGCTATGTCAAAAATCAAATACAACATATGGAAGGGTCAATCTATTGGAATGGAGCTGGGAAGAACACACAGGTTTGGACTTCTGCCCTCACAAATACTCATACCTATTTCCATCTTAAAATTATGAGAGATGGGTTTTTTTCCCACATGAAAGGCTCTCCCAAAAAAACACATTTTCTTCTAACTTCCTTTATAAGCTTTTTTGCCTCTAAAGCACACCAGTTTTGCTAGGGTTTTTTATTTTAATCTTTTCTTTTTTTGCTTGTGTGTGACAATTTCAATAGTTTTAGAAAGCACTTTTTCCAATTTGAATTTATATTTCTTGACCATGTATGATGAGAAACCTACTTACTTTCCAATTAAGATTTTAATACTATCTTTTTTAATTGCAACATTTTTATTTTTTATATGAAATACATTACATTGATGATTAATCTTTAATTGACTAATAAACTTATGGTATTTTTCCCCAGTGACATTTCCAAATGAATGAGATCAGAATTACTGTAGAACCATAGAATCTCTTAATGTGAATAGGACCAATAAGGATCAAGTACTACCCCTTGTTACTCACAGGAATAACTAAAATGAAGCAATATGTCTTGTAAGTACTTTTACTATCTAATGCTCTTAAACTTGATTATGCTTTTCTTCCTCTTGCCCATAACCACATAAGCCTCCTTCTCAGTGCTGAAAGTTCTTCACAACCTATTGTAGTTAAGAAATTTCTTCATGATGGTCCTGTATTTATCCTCAAAGTATCAGATAAAACTGAGAAAAAAGAACTCTGAGATGAAATATTGATATATCTACTATCTAGCTATTGTGGACAGCTCCTTTTCTTTCCTTTTCCCCAACACCTCTGGATTTCAGAAAGCCCTGAAAATTACTTCATTTTTGGCAAGTTTTACTTCCATCTCAGGCTCTCTGAATTTATTCTTATTACTGAATTGCAGTAAATGCCTTTTCTTTTATACGAAATTTTCTTAAAGATACTTATATGCTCTGCAGCATCTGACAATGTGTTATGTTGTCTTTTTTAGCATTCTGTGAAGAACCATTTAACTTACATAAAAGAAAAGCTACAACAGAAGGATCTGTAACTGAGACTGCAAAAATCAAGACTTTTTTAATTCAAGTGCAGACAAATACTAAGAAAATATCTGCCACAGGCAGCTGCATAGCTATGCTTTCACTAAAGTATTTTAATATGTTCTTACCCATTAGTCTGGTACACTTTAAAGAATTTATCTTATTACCTACACAAAATAAGAAGTCATTTACATTCAGTAACCACCTCAGAATTTTAGTCATCTTTATTTTACAGCCTACTTCTTCATGATGTCTGAATTGCCCCAGATAAAACATGGTCTATTTTAATATTTTGAGCTTAGAGGTTTTCTATCTAGTGGGCAAAACAAAAGGAAAACAGTCACACAACTCCACTTTAATGGCAAACTGTTTTGTCATGGGGAAGTAAGTATTTTTTTGATTGGAAAATTTTCATTCTGTTGTTGAAACATGAGCATGGTCACTAGATATTTGATGAAGAGCCAGTAAGTCACATTTGATTCCCCATTTTCTAGTTTCTTATATATCTGTCTTGTCATGATCATAGACAATTATGATTCAAATGCAATTCTAAATATCTATTTAACAGCCAACTAAATGTGGGAGTTTACAATTTACTGAGAGATTTGAAGTATTGCAGATGGTAATTTTACTAATATTATTCTTTCTTTTGGAATAAAAGCACTATTTTTATCACTGCTTTTTCTAGGGTATGAATTTAGCCTATTTTATTGCAACTTAATATTCTGAACATCTTGTATGTATTAAAACACATTTCAAATTCTAATATTATTCTACCTTGAAAGATAAACCAATTTTTTCCATTTTAAGACAGATATTGAAAAAGTCAGAAAATACATTTTTTTACTTAAAATTTCAAAATAAAATTAAAATTT